GAATTCAAAATCCTGCTCCTCACATACAAGGTCTTAAATAATCAGGCCCCATCTTATCTTAATGACCTTGTAGTACCATATCACCCTATTAGAGCACTAAAACTACAGAAATATATATCTAAATCAATTTGATTACTTTCATCTAGGATGAATTGCTATTGGTAAGGTCTTTATCTGTAAGTTAAGCTGTAATGCTTGTAAAAATTCGATTAAAAGCTCAAAATTCATGTCCTCCTTTGCATTTTCCAGTGTCATCCAGTGTGCCGGATTTGGGTATTTGCTCAGGCCAATTCTGTGCCCCGGGCCTTATGTTTGACACCCCTGGTTTGATGTTTTTCCAGTGGCAATGGGACTTTGTAACTGCTCCATACAGGCACATTACTGTCAGAGCAGAAGTGTGGGTACGATTGTGTGTGTCTGTGTCTATGCACACACACATACATCTATGTTAGCAGATGTGTTGGGTCACGAGCAGAATCGGTTTATTACAATTCTGATGTTTAACGGGCCAGTGTTGAAACGACTTAAAAATCCCATTGACTGGCTATTGTCAGTCAGCTTCTGTCATCATTTTCCATCAGCACAACCCTCATTAAGAGATGTATTTTTATCTGTTATAATTTTTATATTTTATTAACATTCAGATGAGGTCCTGCTGTGTCATTAAAATCTAAATCAAGTGAGCAGAGAGGAGGGATGCTCAGCTGATACATCAGGATTCATGTTGTGTCTGCAGAAATGTGAGGCTGAGCAAAATTATGCATGGTCTTTGTGAGCCTGAAGCCATGATGGCGCAATGACCTGGTGGAGCATACAAGGCACCGTGATGATCACCTCAGAGTTTTCCTCAGTAACATTGCTCCCACCTGGGAGGGGTGGCTGTAGCTCAGGAGGTTAGCAGGTCAGCTGCTGATCGGAAGGTTGGTGGTTTGATCCCTGGCTTCCCCAGTTTGCATGCCAAATATCCTTGGGCAAGATGCTAACCCCAACTTGCTCTCCGATGAATCCATCGGAGTTTGAATGCGTATGAATGATAGTTAGAAAGCACTCACCGTATAGATAATAGTGCTTGTGTGAATGGGTTTGTATGGGGTGAATGCGGCGTGTTGGATAGAGCACTAGAGCACTCCAGGAGAGTAGAAAAGCGCTTTATAAGAACTAGTCCATTTACCGTTTCTTCCTCTGTTTCTTCTTCTTCCATAATGTATCTCCTTCTAAGTTTACTTTGATTTTAGCTTCTCAGTGATTTTTCATTCTGTGGACGCTATCAAAACACAAAATGATAGCACACACAGTCGTTAACGGCTCCTGGGTTGTTCCTGAACATACTACCAAGTTGTTCTCGTCTCAGGTTAACAGTTCTGGTCTTCTTTGAGATCTTGGTAAAGCAGTGACATATCCGTTTAACTTGTGCTTACATACACTTTGAGCTGTTGATCCTGTGATGGTATTTGGTGCTATATAAATAAAATTGAGCTGAAATTGAATCCTGGAATCTGCAGCTGTTTAGAAATGGCCTTTGACTTTAATCCCTTTGAAAATGTGCAGACGGTGCTTAAAGCCAGGGCCATAGCAGGAAACCAATGAATTTAAGTGACCTCTAGCACTTATGCTAAGAAGAGTGGACATATCTAAAGTGTCTGGTTGAGGTGCACCCTACTAAGAGATATTTTACCAGATATCAGTATGGCTGTATGTAGACTTTTGACCCTGTGTGAATTAGAAAAAATTCAAAAATATGTTAAAACTTGTTTTTTTTTAAGTCATTACATGAAATTCTGCTGTGCTGTGGTGGAAGCGTGCAGACTCAAATGATGGAGGTGTCCGTAAAGATGAGTGTTAATTACATGAGTGCCTAAAGTAGATCCGATTCCAGAAACAGGAAACTGAAAAAGTACATGGAAAAATACAAACCCTGGAAAACCAAGAATAAGAGATTTAAAGAAAGAAAAGCTACAAACCAAAAAGCTTAAACTCACTGAGTAAACAGACCCAGGATGTAGTAAAGATGTGTACACTCATGTCACCCTAAGAAAAGGAACAGTTAAAAGAAATCAATGCCCAAAATGAGCACAACATTCATGCCCATGAAGCGTGTATGCAAGCTTTAGACCACACGTGTACCTGGCTACAGGGCTGAAATAGTTCTTACATTAATCCTGTAACCACGACTCTACTGCAGTCCCAACTAGAAGTTGATTGTACGTGACCACAGTCCCTCCTGTTGTCGTTTCTCTGCAGCTCATCAGTGATGGCAGTGTGGTGTATGCAGAGGGGCTCTGGGACCATGTTACCATGGATGACCAGGAGCTAGGTTTCAAGGCTGGTGATGTCATTGAAGTAGTGGATGCAACTAACAAGGAGTGGTGGTGGGGTCGCATCATGGACAGTGAGGGCTGGTTCCCTGCCAGCTTTGTACGGGTGAGAAACTGTTCTGACTGTACTCTGGTGCATGTTCAATCCTCCAGGTAAGGATATACAGGATATATATCAAAAGACATCAAACTGCTGTTAAACTTTGGCATCTGTGAAGAAAAAGAGGACAGACAGGGTTATTATTTGAGCCACTTAGAGTCCATTGCATACTTTTAACACTGCCTGCATTCTCCAGTTGCGTGTGAACCAGGACGAACCCATGGACGAGTATCTGGCACACCTAGAGGAGGCTCAGGCTGGACAGGAGGACCGGGCAAGTCTGGGCCTGTTGCTGGGACCTGGGTTACCCTGCAAAGAGCAGATGAGAACAAATGTCATCAATGAGATTATGAGCACAGAGAGAGACTACATCAAGCACCTGAAAGACATCTGTGAGGTTTGCATTGAAATTGATTGGTGTTTTACTGGGGACACATCTGTTCGAGCTTCATCTACAAATCTATTTCTAGATGAGGAACTTTTTCTGCTTAACTCTCTTGTATGTCTCCAATACACCTGCCAACCCTCTAAATGTCTAAATCCTCCCGTAGTTTCATTGACCAGCTCATTTTGACATTTTTCTCATCCCATTATCTGCTTGACCAGCTCAAACTTTATTGTGAATAACTGTATTACAGTCTACACACTCCCCACAGTATTTAACCTGCAGCCTGATTCAAGTCTAGGCTGTATGATAATGTATACACAGGTCACATCCTTCCATTCATTTTCTTTACCGCTTGTACAAGCTCCAGCACCTGAGTGTCACTGAGCTGTTAATGCATAAGAGGCCTGAGGATTGATCACAGGGCTGACAAATAAGGACAAACTGTCATTTACATTCACATTAATATCTATGAAATGTAGATATTTACGAGTAAATCATGTCTGTGGACTGTGGGCAGAGTACAGACCAGCACAGGGACTTGCTGAATGAATTACAACCCTCTCTTAGCTTTTGTTGTTTCTTTTTTTAAGAGCAAGACTTTAAAACATGCAATATTTTGTAAAAAAACAAAAAACAAAAAAAAACAATGCTTCTTTATTAAAGTGTACAACAAGCCAGAGTCACATTTTCGACAAACATGTCATCTTCCAGGTCAGAACTTTAATGTAAGGATTCAGTTCAGTTTTATTTATACATCACCTAATCACAACTAGATTTGCCTCAAGACCCTTTACAATGTGCAACAGAGACCCTACAATAATACAGGAGCCCCAAAGATCAAGCACCTGGCAACAGTGGGAAGGAAAAACTCCCTTTTAAAAGGAAGAAACCTCCCTCATGGAGGGGGCGGCCAGTTTGGTTTGAGGAGAGGGAGACAGGACCAAAGACACCTGTGGAAGAGAAACAAAGGTTAATACTCCAAGAATGCAGAAGTCCACCAAAGCACTCACTCCCTATTTACTCTGGCTTTGCATACATTTATGAGTTTTCTGGCTCTTTCCTTTAATGACATATCTATCTATCTATTTTGAAAATGGAGTGTTAAATTAACTTACATTATAATTTTTTTGGGCAATTTATTGCTTAAAATGGAATTTCAGGTTTTCATTATTTTTTGCCATATACCAGTTTCATTCCCTAAATCTTGCCAATAAAAGCAAAGGTAACAGAATTTATTTTTAAATACAAAAAGACATTTTAGGAAAGTTTGACCTTATTTGATCTCCAGGACAATATTAAACTGTATTGAAGAAATTTTCAAAATGTGATGACGCCAGCATCAGTTCAGCATCAGTTGTATTCATATTGTGCCAAATCACAGCAACAGTTGTCTCACTTCCAACATCACTGGTATGAGTTACACTACATTCTTCTTTTAGAAGGGTTCAGTTTTTGATTAGCAAAACATTCACCAACAGTTATATTTTACCTCACCAGTTTAATTTCACATAGCAGTAGTTTTTGCATATACATTTTTATAACAAGTTTAAAAAAACGCTTTTCCAGTTCTCACACCCATCTGCACTTACACAAAGAACATTTTACATCTAAATGTTGGCAAGTATACTCCTAAACTTCATAAACTTCATTCTTATTACTACTGAAATAATAATACTGTGGCCCATTTTGATTGGGGGGGCGGTGAGCATGTGCATAATGAGAACCAACATAAGCCCAGAGGCCCCAAGTGGCTGCAACCAACAGCAAAGCTGCAGTGGACAGCAGCATGCTGAGCAAAAAAACACATTGGACGTTCTCCACCAGAGCCCAAGGCCCCCCAGCAAGACCCTGTCAGTGATTCTGTCCCTTTATTTGGCCCCCAAACCTGAATGTAGGAAAAAGAACTTTGGAAATCTGTCCTCCAGCATCAGGAAATCTGGGCCTGAACTCTGAGATAGTCTGAAATGTACAAATGACCAATGATGAGAGAGAATAGTTAGTCTGTGAACACACTGAGCTCTGTGCATGTTTGACATCTAACATCAGGCTTTCCTCCTGTCTCTGTCCCTCAGGGTTACATCAAACAGTGCCGCAAAAGGACAGACATGTTCACTGAAGAGCAGCTTCGTACCATCTTTGGGAATATCGAAGAGATCTACCGATTCCAGAGGAAGTTCCTCAAAGGTCTCGAGCAGAAGTTCAACAAGGAGCAGCCACATCTGAGTGAGATTGGTTGCTGCTTCCTTGAACATGTAAGCTGAATCAAAAAACAACAACAAAAGATCTTCAACTGGTTTTCTTAAAACCTTTAGAAAACCAGTTAACCCACACACACACCTTCCTTCTCAGTTGTCCATGTCATAGTGCTTATATTACATTATTTTGCCTGATTAATTGAAAATGCTTTATGATGTTTCATGACAGGTCTGAGGTGTTTTCAGTCACATGTTGAACACTCTTCCCACACCGTTCTCTCACCTCTAGCCCGATGTATTGTTGTGTGTGTTCAGCAAACAGATTTCCAGATCTATTCAGAGTATTGCAACAACCACCCCAATGCCTGCATCCAACTCTCCAAGTTGATGAAGGTCAACAAGTATGTATTCTTCTTTGAGGCTTGCCGACTGCTTCAGAAGATGATTGACATATCTTTGGATGGTTTTTTGCTGACTCCAGTTCAGAAGATCTGCAAGTACCCGCTGCAGCTGGCAGAACTGCTCAAATATACCAACCCACAGCACAGGTGACCGTAAGCTCTTTGACAAACTGTCAGAATTTAAGTGCTCCCGAGCTAGTGAGGGTCCAGTTGGCTCCTCTCTGTGACGTACATTTCATCAGTAGACGAGTCCAAAAATCCATGCAGACAGTCACATGCTTTTCTGTGTCACCAACAAAGCTTTTCCTCCAAATGAAAGCGCTAAAATAGCTTAATGACTTTTTCTTAATTTCAACAGTTGCCCGTGTGAGTACAACAGAATAACAGAATCACAAGTTGGGAGATATTTCAAAATTGAAGATTTCCTAAAGGCTTAACCAGGGCATCACGTGGTCAGATGCAGTCATCTGAAGTTTTACTTTTACACTCTTTGGGTTTCATCTTCATTCTTAAGAGTGATGCAGCCTTAAATCTTAGTGGGATATAAAAAAAGAGCCTCTGCCTTAAACTGAATTTCAACAATGATTGCCTACAGCGAGAAGGAAGAACTCCCTTTTAACAGGAAGACCTCTTAAATCTTCAGACGTGTGGCTGAACCAGGCTCAGGGAGGAACATATAGAGACCAGGGGTCACGGAAACTTCCATAAGAGGAAAACAAGAATAATATATTAGTATGAGATGGATTCTGTGTGGAGAATTGCATGTCTACCTGCATGTTCCAGTTTCTTTCTAGTTCAATTTCATGCATGTTAGGTTAATGGTCATCCTACATTGTCCATAGACAAGGCAGATACACAAAAGTGCCCAATAAACAGAATACAATCTGTTTTGTAAGCCTAAAAAAAATCCATAAAACACAACACAAATCTAATGAGGAAAATGTGAAAGTTAAAAAAGTAAGCTAGCAACTACGGCACAGGAAACTGAGAAGAAGCATTCAGGATCAAACTCGGCCAACACCCCAGAGTCCATGACAGTGAATCTTCAAGATGGACTAGTCAGGCAGGAGGAAGAAAGGCTTATTGATGTAGTGAAGGAAGACATGCAGAGGATTAGTGTGACAGATGAGGATGTATGACCTGAGATTGAGGTGAACAAACCACTGAGAGCAGTGGTGGGCAACTCCAGGCCTCGAGGGCCGGTGTCCTGCAGGTTTTAGACGTGTCCTTGATCCAACACAGCTGGTTTAAATGGCTAAATCCACAACATGTCTTGAAGTTCTCCAGAGGCCTGGTGATGAACTAATCATCTGATTCAGGTGTGTTGACCCAGGGTGAGATCTAAAACCTGCAGGACACCGGCCCTCGAGGCCTGGAGTTGCCCACCACTGCCCTAGAGGGAGGAGTGCCCAAAAGAAAGTCTAAAGCACTGCAGCATCAGTATGACTAGAAGAGCACAATATAAATGCAAGTGCATCACCTTAAATGTACTTAAAATGTGCAAATACATAATTTCATTAGAGCTGGTCACTGTATTTTATCAGTATTTATTTAAACTGATTGATTTATTTTTGCCTTTACTGTTCATTCTTTGCACAGTGCAATGAGTGAAGAGTAAAGCAAGGGAGGAAAGAGTGTGTGGGAATGACATGCAGGTAATGGGCTGCAGCAGAACCAATCCAAGGCTCTGCAGTTTAGCGCCAGGCTGTTCTGATGACCTATAGCAACACCCTCCAGCAAACCCCCAAAACTCCATCCCCGTAGAGACCGTGTCTGCTCCCATACAAGCAAACTCCAAACCAAAATCGGCAAACAACCATCCATCCATCCAACCATCCATCCATCCATCCATCCAACCATCCATCCATCCATCCATCCATCCATCCATCCATCCATCACTGTTAAAGGTGAATTAAAACTCTATTTATCCTTGTCCACTCTAACTGGACAAGACAAAGACAGTTTTAGTTGTTTCCATCATCTTCAGTGTGTTTATCTGATGTCTCTGACTTTTTTGTCAGGTTTAGTGCCCAGTCAAATAATGTTGTTCATCCATTTATATGTTGAAATGACACTGCATTTAACTTAAACACATAACTCATAGGCTGGAGAGGCTATCGTGCCTTTGGAAGACCTTAATTTGACCTGGAATATCTGTGTTTTGCTTTACATAGCAATACTATAGTTTAGGATCCCTGGGTCTGTTTCATCGTATGTTTTGTTTGTTGGACTTCTGAATCAATATTGTATTGTGTTTTGAGAAAAGTGTTCTGGATTTATCTGGATTTGTTCGTGCCTTTGATGTCCCCCCGTGCTTCCTGGGTTATTGTCTATATTTCTAGTTCTTAGTCCTCGTTCATTCTCAGTTCCCTTTTGTGTCGAGGTTGTCTTCGTCTCTCCGTGTCCCTCACTCTCTCCGTGTTGTTTTTCCTGTTTTATTTTGTCAGCCCCTTGTCTCGTGCATGTTCAGTTTTGCTTCCCCTATCTCGTCTGTTTGCTTCAGCTGTGTTCCCATGTGTCTCCACTTCCCCTGACCACCCTCCTGTGTTTATTTGGTGTCAGGTCCCCTTATCAGAGTGTCCTGTTATCTTCTGGTTTCTGTCGTTCCAAGTTTAGTTTTTCAATAGTTCCCATTGACACTTGGACTTTTGCCTTTGTTTTGTACCTGTTCCATCGGTTCAATAAAGGGCTCGCTTCTGTTCAAACCTCCGCCTGCCTCTGTGTCCTCATCACACACAATCCAACACTCTGAAGGAAAAGTCTTCTGTAGAGCTCGGACATCTTACTATCTGTCAATGATAGGTTTCTTTTTAACACACTCTGCTGAATGGAGTCTTCCTTTAGACTTTAATAGTAAAGACTAATGATTATTATTTTTCTAACAATTAGAGTAAATTTCACACCCTTTCCAAGGATGTACCAGTAAATACAACAGCTTTAATAGCTGCTTATATTGACTTTCTCTAACATGTAAACATGTCTCTTAGAACTAAAGACTGCTCTAAGTCTGATCATTAAGTGATAGCCCAACTTTAAATATGATTAATTTACCTCTGAACTGAGTTTTTTTTTTTCATTTGGCCGCAGGAATCTTAAAAACATTATGTCAAACCAGATACTGGACTTACCTTGGCCTCTAGCAGCCCTTTGAGGAACCTGTGTCATTTTTTAATCAGGCCATGTCCTTGACTGTACACATAACTACTGTTATGTATTTGTGCAATATCACTAGAAGATTCTGTCAGTTCATGCATTTATTACTTCTAGTGTTAACTACTGAAAATCCAGTATTATCTCCCTGAAAAGCCTTCAGCTGAGAAGGCTGGAGGGACTAAGAAGATAAACCATATTTCTCCCCATGGGCTCTCTGTAAATCCCCCAATTTAACAACCTTCTCCTTACATACAAAATGTTGAATAATCATCTTATCTTAAAGACCTCATAATACCATACTATCATAATTGAGAGTTGGGGGAATGGGATATCAGTAGCTCACAGTCTGGGATTAGGAGACAGACGCTATTTGTACTTTTAGATTAGGCCTAAAACTTTCCTTTTTTAAAGCGTATAGGTAGGGCTGGATCACGTGACACTGAATCATCCCTTAGATATGCTGAAATAGGTTTAGGCTGCTGGGGGGTTCCCATGATTCACTGACCATTTCTTCTTCATTCACTCTCTGTGGCTTTATACACAGCGGATTTATTCATTCATTCATGAATGATTCAGTCACTCATTAGTAACTATGACTCTGTGTCTCTCTGCTTCTCTATCCCCTCACCTCAGATGGCTGGCCCTCCCCTCAGCCTGGCTCCACCTGAGATTTTTCCCATTCAAAGGGAGTTTCTCCTTCCCGCTCATGGGGGCTCATTTGATTGTTGGGATTTTCTTTCTAACATTGTAGGGTCTTTATCACCCTACAGTATAAAAGGCCTTGAGGCGACTTTTGTTGTGGATTGGCACTTTATAAATTCAATTCAATTGAACTGAAATAAAATGGTGCATTTGTTAAAGATATTTTGTGAAGTGAGGCACAGAAGGTTTACAGTTACTGATAAAATGTCATCTTTCTCCTTCACTCTAAGGTGACCTCTGATAAATTAGTTGGTTTTCTGTCTGAAAAGACTAACAGACACAGCGTTTTAGTTTTTTTCAACAGAAAGCCCCATTTTCTGACAGGTTGTCCGAAACCACACTATACTGTAACTGTAACACGACACCCTGTTCAACAACTCAGTGATTGCTTTAACAGTTGTTTAATAATGGAGTTCTGCGGCATGGCGGATGCAACAGTTGTGCTTCACAGAAAATATAAAGAGTGTGTTATGGAATCACCACAAATACTTACTTTATAATCCAAATGCATGTCACTCTCTAAACTTTAGGGACTACAAAGACGTGGAGGCAGCTTTGAATGCCATGAAGAATGTTGCCAGGCTTATAAATGAGAGAAAACGGCGCCTTGAGAACATCGACAAGATCGCTCAGTGGCAGAGCTCCGTTGAGGATTTTGAGGTGGGTAATGAAGCATCTTTTTTCTAACATTTCTCCAACACTTACTATTAACTGCAGCATGTCTGAGAATAGTAATAGCTGCATGTGTGCTTTAAACTTTACAGGGTGAAGATGTCCTCAGCAGAAGCTCTGAGCTCATCTTTTCGGGAGAGCTGACCAAGCTATCCCTGCCTCAGGCTAAGAGCCAACAGAGAATGTTTTTCCTTTTTGACCATCAGATGGTGTACTGTAAAAAGGTGCCCTTTTTTTCTACAATGGATGTCATTTTGTGAGGTATTGATAAAAGCATGTGGCAAGAATCACCCTAAGAGCCAGGAGAAAGGGGCATCAGTGTATATGTACAAAAGAAAAGGTTATTCATGGTTGTGTATCAGGTGTTATTTATATAGCGCCAAAACACAACAACAGTCCCCTCAAGGTGTCTGTGGAAGGTAATACTAATGTGTCAAGCAATAGGCTTAATTTGTATTCTAAATACAAATAAATTTCTATAATTTTCTAATAATAATTCACTTTATTCCACAAGAAGAAGACAGTTTGGTCAGTGGAAGAAGAAAAATGGTGGTATTTATGTACTGAGATGGATCATTAACTGAATTGTCAAGGTTTGTTTGGTGCAGGTCTCAATCGCAGGACTCCAAAACTCCAAATCTAGTGAAAAGTGAAAACATTTATTTAAAGGGACATATATACATATGCACAGTGAATAATGGGGAGAGGGCTCTAGTTCCTTGTTCAGCCTGTCTGTCTGACCATTGGTTTGGGGGTGATAACCTGATGAGAGACTGACCTGGGCACCAATGGTGAAGCAGAATTCCTTCCATACCTTTGACGTGAACTGAGGTCCACGGTTGGAGACGACATCTGAAGGGATTGCATGCAGGTGGAACAAGTGATCTATCAGCAGCTGGTCCATCTCGAGTGCTGTGGGGAGCTTAGGTAATGCTGCAAAATGTGCTGCTTTGGAAAAGCGATCAATAATAGACAGAATTACCATGTTTCCTGGTGAAGGTGGAAGGCCTGTCAAAAAGTCCAGGGCAATGTGTGATCAAGAGGGCCTGGGGTTGGTAGCGGTTGGAGCAGGCCTGCCGAAGGAGAGGTCAGGGATTTATTTTGGGGATAGATGGTGCAGGCTTTTACATACTCTCGGGCGTCTTGAGCTAAAGTCACCAGAACAGGCTCCCAGGAACGAGATGGTGCGTTGGATTCCAGGATGACACGAGAATCATGCCCATTGGAGCACCTGGGCCTGCATGGATGAAGGGACATAGAGCCGGTCCGGGGGTCCTGTCCCAGGATCAGGTTTGGTATGCTGCCATACCACTGACTCAATTTCCCAGGGGAGTCCTCCTATTACACAGCCCCTAGGAAAGACCAGTGTTTCCACTCGAGCCTCCTCAGAAGGTGAAAACTGGTGTGATAAAGCATCTAGCTTGACGTTTTGGGACCCAGGCCAGGAGGTAATTGAGAAACTGAACCGTGTGAAAAATAGTGCCCACCTGGCTTGGCGCGCATTAAGCCGTTTTGCTGACTGAAGGTAGGCGAGGTTCTTGTGGTCTATCCACACAGTGAAAGGCTGTGCTGTTCCCTCAAGCCATTGCCGCCACTCCTCCAGCACTAACTTGATCGTGGCTCAAGAGTTGGGAGTTCGCCTTGTAATCGGAAGGTTGCCGGTTTGAGCCCCGGCTTGGACAGTCAGTCGTTGTGTCCTTGGGCAAGACACTTCACCCGTTGCCTACTGGTGGTGGTCAGAGGGCCCGGTGGCGCCAGTGTCCGGCAGCCTCGCCTCTGTCAGTGCGCCCCAGGGTGGCTGTGGCTACAATGTAGCTGCCATCACCAGTGTGTGAATGGGTGGATGACTGGATATGTAAAGCGCTTTGGGGTCCTTAGGGACTAGTAAAGTGCTATATAAATACAGGCCATTTACCATTTTACCATATCCAGTAGCTCTCTGTCGCCAACGTCGTAATTTTGTTCTGTGAACACATGGATGGAGTTTACCTTCAGTCTGTTGACTAAGTTCCACCTCCACGATGAAGGGTCAGGTGCGATTAAGCTGGGTGAGAATGGGCACCAAAGCGAAAGGTTGCTTCACGTGAGCAAAAACCTCATGGGCTGCCTGCCCCCACTGAAACAGGACGTTTGGAGAGGTGAGGTGAGACAATTTGACTGAAGTCGTGAATGAAGCGACGATAGACATTTGCAAACCCCAGGAATCGTTGAAGCTGTTTGCAGTTTGGTGGTGTGGACCACTCCAAGACAGCTTGGACTTTTACTGGATCCGGTCTCAGATTTTCCTGTTTAATAATGGAAGAGAGGAAGGAAGCAGTGTTCACATGAAACTCACCCTTCTCAGCTTCAACAAACAGACGGTTTTCCAGCAGCCTCTGCAACACTAGTTTTACATGCCGTTCATGCTCCACCACTGACCTGTAGAAGATGAGGATATCATCTAGGTAGACGAAAACAAAGTGGTTGATGAAGTCTCTGAGAATGTCATTAACGATGGCCTGGAAGACTGCCAGAACGTTTGTTAACCCAAACAGCATGACGAGATACTCAAATTGCCCCAAATGAGTGTTGAAGGCCATCTTCCACTCGTTCCCCTCCCTTATGCGAAACAAATGGTACGCATTCCGGAGGTCCAGTTTACTGAAGATTGTCATTCCTTGGAGAAGCTCAAACGCAGAAGTCAACAAAGGCAACGGGTATTTTTTTTAACAGTTATTGTGTTCAAACCCCGATAATTAATGCAAGGTCTTACAGACTTGTCTTTCTTTTCCACGAAGAAAAATCCTGCCCCTAAAGGAGAGGAAGATGGCCGAATTATCCAAGCAACAAGTGAGTTGGTAATGTATTCCTCTATGGCCTCCCTTTACGGCTGGGACAGGCTTTAGAGTCGACTGGTTGGCAATGGTGCCCAGATAGCAAGTCAATAGCGCAATCATTGGGCCTGTGTGGAGGCACGATCCTTATTAAATACCTCAGCCAGTTCATGATAAACCGAAGGAACAGCAGCTAGGTTTGGAGGTGTTGGCGGAGGTGATGCTGGAAAGAGGAGAGACGGAGGTGGCAGATCTGGGCGACCGTAGCTCAGGGGGTTGGGAAGCTCATCTGTAACCGGAAGGTTGCCGGTTCGATCCCCCTGCTCTCTCGGGGTGGCTGTGGCTCAGCTACTGATCGGAAGGTTGGTGGTTCGATCCTAGGCTTCCCGAATCTGCATGTTTAGTGTCCTTGGGCAAGATACTAACCCCAAATTGCCCTCCGATGCGTTCATCGGAGTGTGACTGTGTGTGAATGTAGATTAGTTTGCACTTGCGTTTAGAAGTGCTTGCATGAGTGGGTGTGAATGGGTGAATGAGGCATGTTGTATACGGCGCTTTGAGTACTCTGGGAGAGAAAAGTGCTATATATAAGAATTAGTCCATTTACCATCTCTGTCCTGGTCGTTGTGTCCTTGGGCAAGACACTTCACCTACCGCCTACTGGTGTTGGTCAGAGGGGCCGATGGCGCGATATGGCAGCCTCGCTGCTGTCAGTCTGCCCCAGGGCAGCTGTGGCTACAACTGTAGCTGCCTCCACCAGTGTGTGAATGTGAGACTGAATGAATAGTGGAATTGTAAAGCGCTTTGGGTGCCTAGAAAAGCGCTATATAAATGCAATCCATTATTATTATCATTATCTTAGGCATGTCATGTGGCATTCCCCCCTCCATCCAGAAATGCCGCCATTTCTCCAGTCAGTGAGTGGGGTTGTGTTGTAACAGCCAGGGATAGCCAAGAACCAGATGGGTTAGTGGAGCCTTAAAAACAAACAAACTGATTAACTCAATGATTTCCGGAATGATGTTACCAGTTTAGTAATGTGGGTGACATCTGGTAAACGCTAACCATTCAGGGAGGAGGTTCGTAGAGCATGGCTCAACAGTTAAGCCAAGTTTCTTAGCAAGCGAAAAGTCAATAAAACTCTGTTCAGCGCCGGAGTCAATTAATGGAGTGAGTGGGTGGAGGCGTGAGCGGTTAGCTCACAAATTCGTTAAACTCTAGGCTGGATGACCTCTAATTATCTCTTTCTAAATTCAGATTATGCCGAAGTTTTTATATTCTGCCCTAAAAATCATAGAAATGTGATGCCATGATCCTCCAGTCCTCCTGTGTTGGCTCACTCGGCAGCAGAGACCTGCAAATGGATTTCAGAGAGTTACTGAAAGAGAGATTGCTGAGGAAAGAAAATACTGTGGTGGAGCCATGGGCCTCGCTAACTGGAAATCCCTTTGCTTTGCTTCTGACTTTGTCTTGTAAACTTTTCTCCTGAGCCCTGTGTATTGAGTCCAATCTACATCACGTGTCTAACCAGCTACTTATCCTGGTTACTGGAGGCCAAGATAATGCCGTCCAGATTATATCCTGTAATGCACATTATTAAGCAAATAGTAAGGACTGCTTTCTTACATTTGCACAGTACCTCTAAAATTAGAATCATCCTATCTCAGAGTGATGTTAAAAAAACATTTCATGCATTTATGACATCGAGGCCAGACTATTGTAATACTTTATTTTTCAGGTTGTACTGATCAAAAATCCTACAGTGAGATTTCTGACATGGACTAAAGCAGGGGTCTGCAACCTTTTACACCCAAAGAGCCATTTGGACTCGGTTTCCACGCAAAAGAAAACACTGGGAGCCGCAAATACTTTTTGACATCTAAAATGAAGCTAACACTGTTATTGTTTTTTACCTTTATGCTTTGTGTGAACAACTAAGGTGTGTTGCTTATGAAATCCATGAAGTGCTACAGAGAAAATTACATTTTATTTATGTAATTAACACATTTTGAACTCTTAAATAAATATAACAAAAGGAAAGACACCCAGCTGAACTAAAATGATCCATGTAGCAAACAAAAACTGTTGTCAGCCACCACCCTTATATCGCCTTTGGGCTGTTGGAGCCTTGACCTGACTTTTAAAAAATAATTGGTAAAAAAGCTCTATGCTGCTGAAAAATTAAAAATAGATATTTGCAAAATTCAGCCTAAATATGTATTTTACCTGGTTAATGCGTGCGGCAGGGCGTGGTCTGCAGCGCCGCTGCAGGGGAGGCGGACGCACCTGAGCCACACCCGCAATCACGCCTCGCTGCCTTTACGTCTGCGCTATCTGTGCTGTTGTGTTGGTGTTGGTGTGTGTCGGGTTGTGAGGTGAAAAGCTACAGCCGGCTGTATGTGTACAGCAACCGTGTGTAAAAAGTGGTCAATAAAGAGATGCTGAAAAGCGTGTTCATGCAAACATCGTCGGTCTGCCGTGATATGTTTACAATGGGACTTCTGCTCCTGAACCTCTGCGCACAGCGTCTGCTAATCGGGGCTGTACGAAGTCAGTTTACGCAGGACTGTAAGCTGTTGTCTGTCAGGCGTGAGCGGTGTTTGTCTTTAACATAGTTCACGGTGGAGCTGCTGACATAATGTGGATCCGAAGATCCATAATTGGCCTACCTGGGGTTGAAAGTCTCGGTAAATGCACGGCATTTCGTACACCGGCTTCCGCGAGTGTGACGCTTATTTTGAGCGATGAAAAAATAATAGAATATAATTTTATTTTTATATTTCAATATCACAATAATCTTCCAATTTAGAACTACAAGTTAAAAAGAACTAACATAAATAAAATACACTTCAGCTAAATACTAATTTATTTTCCCAAACCACGCGGAGCCGCAGTATAAGGACTAAAGAGCCGCATGCGGCTCTGGAGCCGCAGGTTGCCGACCCCTGGACTAAAGAGACCATATTTTTAGCTATTAAATCAAGAGTCAAAGTTAAATTACTCCTCATATACAAAGTCTTGAATAATCAAGCCCCATCTCATCTTAAACACCAAATTTTACCATATATCACCCCATATATCAGGAGGCAGCCCCTCTTTGTACTTTTCACTTTCCTTTTTTTTTTATAAAGCTTTATAACGTTTGTTTCGGGTCACTTGATCCAGCCTCTCTCTTAAATACGCAGCAATAGGCTCAGGCTACTGCTAAGGCTCTCCATGATGCTATGAACATTTCCTTTTCACTCCCCTGTTTATACACCACTTTGCATTCAGTCATTACGTCTTGATGCATGCTCAATCATCCAGTAAATCTCCAAAAGTTGATTCTGGTCATCTGGACGTAGCGTTTATTGGGAGAAACGTTTCGTCACTCATCCAGGTGACTTCTTCAGTCTCAGCAAATTGAAGGGTTTCCCCAATCTTATAAACAGTACATTTGCATAATGACTGAAATCAGCCCAATGAAGGAACAATGGGCTGTGAGGTCAATTCCTTCATCATGATTATGCAAATTCTCATGATTATTGATCAACAACCACTGATCAATGGCCATGAGTCCCATTCACAGAGAGTTGGGGAATGGCTGCAATCACAGCATTGTAAGATGGTGACAGATGTACCCTTAGGCCCCTCCTCCATTCAGAGATGGTCTTTCCCTTTTCACGTAAGCGTACACTATGTTACTGTGTTTGTGTCGGGGGACCCGATCCTTGGGGTGGACCAATTTTTGGCGCAACATGTTTTGGGGTTTTACAGCCACAGATACCTGGTGTTTCGAAAAAATGTTTCTCAACTGCTCCGATAGTCCTGACACGTACGGGATCACTACACGTTTTCGCTTAGTCATTGGTTGTTCTTCTCTCCTGGATTGGCTGGAGCTTTCTTTAGGAGCCTTTCCCACTCTGACAAAAGTCCAGCTGGGATAACCACATTTACTCAGGGCCTTCTTGATGTTCTTCTGCCTCCCTGGCTGCTGTGTCTGTGGGGATGGTGTTCGCTCTGTGTTGTAGCGTCCTGATGACACCCAGTTTGTGCTCCAGTGGATGATGAGACTCAAACCTTAGATACTGATCCGTATGTGTAGGTTTACGGTACACGTCAGCTTTTAGATGTCCCCCATTACTGATGGAAATCTCACAGTCTAAGAAGGCTAACCTGCCACTGTTCATATCCTCCCTGGTGAATTTGATGTGTCGCTCCACCGAGTTAATGTGATCCGTGAAATGTGGAACGTCCTGAGATTTGATTTTCACCCAGGGGTCATCCACATACCTGAACCAATGACTTGGTGGTGTTCCAGGGTAGGATAGCAAAGCCCTATTTTCCACTTCTTCCGTGTACAAATTGGCCACGATGGGTGAAACTGGGAGCCCATGGCACACCCATGTTTCTGCCTGTAGTACTGACCCTTGTATGTGAAGTAGGTGGAATGAAGACACAGTTCAAACACACTTGGTCGATGCTGAGAGTGGTCCTGTTGCTGAGGTTGGTGTCATCCTGTAATCTCTTACGGACTACCTCCAACGCTTCCGTGACTGGGATGCAAGTGAAGAGAGATGTAACGTTGTACGAGACCATGGTTTCATCAGCCTCCATAGTGACATCTCTCACCTTCTCAACAAAATCCAACGTGTTCTGGATGTGGTGTTCAGAGCTGCCCACCAGCCGATTGAGGATCGAAACCAGAAACCTGGAGATGTTATAGGTGACAAAGTTGATCATACAGACAATTGGTCTTAAAGGTGCACCCTGTTTATGTATTTTTGGTAAACCATACAGACTTGGTGTAGACTCCCCTGGGTACAGCCTGTGGTTTGAGGTCCGATCAATAGCCTTGTCCTGTTCTAACTGCTTCAGACAGTCTTTCACCCTCTTCCTGTAGCCACTTCCTGGGTTTCGTTTCAGGGGCTCATAAGTATTTTCATCACTGAGCAGTGACAACATTTTCTCATGATAGTCTTGCTGGTTTAGCAAATCTGTGCACTTACCCTTGTCTGTCAGAAGGATGATAATGTTGCTGTCATTACTAAGTGAGGTGAGTGCCTTCCTCTCCTCCATGCTGATGTTGGATGCTGGGGGCTTTGCATTGCTGAGACAGGCCGAAACTTTCGTCCGTAGTTGCTCTGCTTCCACTTCTGCAATATTGTTGTTTCGAATTGCTGTTTCTGTGGCTGTGATCAGCTCCACTAGTGGGATTTGTCTCAGAGTGACAGCAAAATTCAACCCTTTAGCAAGGATGTTTTTCTCTGTTTGGGTGAGCCGTCTGTCAGACAGATTTTTCACCCACTTGTCCACATCCTCGGTGTCGCATCCTTGTCTCTTTTGGCCACTGAGGACACTCCGTATTTCGCTGTGGTTTCCGATGTACAACAAGTAAGTCAAACTTCATTTGTTGCCTGGTCTACTCTCTTCTAAAAGCATTGTCAGTCTCCTCTTGAGATTTTAGCACGTCGATGGTAAAATTTGTTTGCCTCACCCGTTCATTAAGCAGCTGATCCGGTGCCTTCTGGAGGATTTTTGTTGCCTGGAAGCCTTTAACTGAAGAGCTCATTTGCAGACTTTTAGGAGTAATCATGTTTTGTCTGCATCTGAGGCTGAATATCAAGTGGTTCCTGTAATCCGCCATCTTACGTGCTGTTTGCTCATACTGACGAACAAGCTTTAGGCAGTCCTTGCCAAAGTGGGAAAAAGGCCCTGATTAAATGTGGTTATCCCAGCTGGACATTTGTCAAAGCTGGGAAGACGCCTAAAGAAAGATCCAGCCGATCCAGGAGAGAAGGACAACTGCTGACTATGGTACTCATGGCCATTGATCAGTGGTTGTTGATCAATGGTCATGAGAATTTGCATAATTATGATGAAGGAACTGACCTCCCAGCCCATTGTTCCTTCAGTGGGCTGGTTTCAGTCATTATGCAAATGTACTGTTTATAAGATTGAAACCTGCAGTCAGCTGAGACTGAAGATGTCACCTGATGATGACGAAACGTTTCTACCACAAAACGTTACGTCCAGATGACCAGAATCAACCTTTGAACATTCAGTCATTTGTAATTATTTACCTCAGGACTAAAGACATGCTGTGGAAGTGAACCAGTCTCCCTCGTCTTACTCCTAACAGGTCACAGCCGTTGGCTGCTCCTTCCTGAGCCTGATTCTGTCAGAGGTTTCTTCCTGTTAAAAGGGAGTTTGTTCTTTCTGCTGTTGCCAAGTGGTTGCTCATAGGGGTGATGTGATTGTTAGGGTTTTCTCTCGGGCTGTTGAGAACTGTTGAGGTGACACAGTGCTAAACAAAAAAAACAAAACAAAACAAACCTGTTGGCTTTCGTTTACTTTTCTTTTTACTCTTGTTCAAAACAAATCCTTCTTTAAATGTGCTGTCCATTATTTTTGCAGGACCTCCTGCGCCGAGACATACTTTACTACAAGGGCCGGATTGACATGGACCACATGGAAGTAATAGATCTGGAGGATGGTAAGGAGAAAGACTTCAACATCAGCGTAAAAAATGCTCTGAAACTGCGTTCGCTAGCTGGTGATGAAGTCCACCTCCTATGTGCTAAGAAGCCTGAGCAGAAAGAGCGCTGGCTCCGAGCCTTTACTGATGAGAGGAGGCAGGTCCAGCAAGACCGCGAGACAGGTCAGTTCGTCTTCATATGAATGGATGCTAAGAACATTGGGATGATAATAATGGTGGCAATCCAAGTTTGTTGTAGCACTGTCGTGGCACATGCATTAAACAGATACAGATTCATTTTGTCAAGGACACTTTCAGTCAGCTGATTTAAATGCCCTCGGTCTGATGACGAATAAACCTGTTGTTTTTCTTTTCTTTTTGTCAGGGTTCACTCTCACAGAGGTCCAGAAGAAACAGGCCATGTTGAATGCCTGCAAAAGCCATCCTGCTGGAAAACCCAAAGGTATGCACCAATCAGTTTATCGTAGAGTAACTTGGGGTTCAATATCTTGCCCAAGGATACTGTGCAGACTGGAGATGGGAGCAGCCAGGGATTAAACCTTCCAAACCGGGGTGGCTGTAGCTCGGGTGGTAGAGCAGGTCATCTACTGATCGGAAGGTTGGTGGTTCGATTCCCTAGTCTGCATGCCAAATATCCTTGGGCAAGATGCTAACCCCAAATTGCTCTCCGATGCATCCATCAGAGTATGAATGTGTGTGAATGTAAAGCACTTAGAAAAATGTGTTTGTGTGAATGGGTGAATGCACAAGTTGTGTAAAGCTCTTTGAGTTCTCAGATGAGTAGAAAAGTGCTATATAAGAACCAGTCCAATTAGTAAATGACCTGCTCCACCTACACGACTGCAGTGGACACCAGTGGAACTGAGCAAAGGGGTAAAAAAGTGGCCCATAGATGATAACGAATCGAAAAGTATGGCAGTACACACTTTGTGATCTGCTGCCATGTGCGTACGTCAACAGATTATGTGTATATCTAATATTTTTCTTGTTTCACCTGTTTGGCTCTTTGTAGAAGTCTCCCGCTCACTTGGTTTAGTTTATACAGTTTATACTGAACTTTTACCGATTTAAACAACAAATGCAACCTCAGACCCTCATAATGAAATGCTTCCTTGTTTCCTAATGCATATCCTACTTTCATCTCCGTAATATTAACCGCCTTCGTCCCTCACTCACTCCACACAGTACCGCCATACTTGTCAGTGCTCATGTCACATTTAGATTACTGTAATTCTCTTCTCTACGGTGTACCTCATTAATCCACCTGACTACCATGGGACTCGAGCCTTTAGCTGTTCAGCTCCAAGAATTTGGATGCACTTAAACCAGATGACGAACTCTCTCACCACTTTTAAATCACGTCTCAAACCCATCTATTCAAAACCGCATACGATTGATTCGGTCTTAGTCCACTTTTACGTTGCTCAGCTTTTATACTTTCATGCTTTTTATTTTGCCATGTTTTATTATATTGTATTGTTGCTATTGTTCTTGTGCTACTGTAAGGTGACCTTGAGGGTCTTAACCTATAAATAAAATGTATTATTATTGTATTATAAGTAATGATCTGTTGTTCGTCTTCTCCTCAGCGGTGTCCAGACCTTATTATGACTTCCTCCTGAGGCAGAAACACCCCTCTCTCCCCTCTGCTTTGCCCCAGCAGCAGGTCTTTATGCTGGCTGAGCCCAAGCGCAAGACCTCCACCTTCTGGCACAACATTGGCAGACTGACGCCCTTCAAGAAGTAAAAAAACTGTAAGGAAAAAGAAGCCTTGGAGAAAAGGAACAGGAGAAAGAGTCTCTATTCGTGCCTGAATAGACCGTTTTTAACCCTTCCTCTCTTTAAGTCCTACACATAATATCCTCTAATTATTGATTTATTGTATAGATATGAATTGAATATGTTATCTTTTGAAAGCACTTTATATGTTGGTCAACAATCAGACATGGGAATGGTCCTCTGGAGACAATGAGTCAGATAGGTAGAGTAAACTCTCAATAGACCTTGAATCAAGCACTGATTGGAACTAGAACTACTACTGTACTGCTACTGTACTAGTACAGTACTACTATTGTACTAGTACTGCACTAGTACAATACTAGTACTGTACTGCTGCAGGTGAGCGTGGGACTCCTGACTGTGCTGTCTCGGTGAAGACGTTGCCTGTCAACAAAACCTTGTTTATTTTCACTCTTCTGTTGCTTCATGATTTGACAGATGCCAAGTGTATTTAGTGCCAGATGATCTGTTTTTATATTTGTTCCTCGTCTGCTTATGAAGAGACAACATTTCTTGTTTCCATGTACAGAAATATAATTTCAGCTATGTTTTGTTTGGTGATTATGACCCACCGGGATTTTGTACTTCTCTGGTGTAATGTGCAAACTCCTGACGAATATCAAACGCAGCCCAAAGAAAAACCGGCTCAGCACATGTTCTCGGCTGCTCCACGGTCTGAACCTCGACGACTCCTGATACCTGCTGTGTCAATGAAAGTACGCAACTCGCTCGCTTTTCTTTTTCTTTCTGTTCTTTGTTGAAGTGCCATTTGAAGTGTGTCATGGATGCTTTACAATGACATGCATGGATGTGCTTAAAAGAAATACTGTGAGGAATATTTTTTTATCTCTGAAGAGCCCTGCTATATTTAACCTGATAGCTACAGCTGGTTTCATCGTGCAGCCATGCTGACAGCATATCTCTGTCTCACACTCTCATTCTTTTACCTGTGTTTCTGATACTCACTATTCCTGCTCTGTGTATCTGATTTCCAGTATAATCTCATGTCAGATCAGTGCAGCCCGGCGATATTGCTCTGTAAGTGCATTTAGTGAAATGTACTCCTTACTCCTTTCTGTTCAACAATTAAACGTTCCTAAAATGACACATGTCGCTTCAACTTGGGGTGATTTTTACTTTGTTTCATGTCTTTTTGGAGTTTCAGTTCTTTAACGACAAACCATGTGTACGCTAACGTGGAGTACAAGCTAACGTTTTCACTTTATATATTAAAAAACCTGCTGAAAGTATCAAGTCTGTATTACTTTGCTTTTCGTTCAAAGGGAGGTTGCTTTGAAAATTGATACAGTTCACACTTAATGTAGTTACACTGCACTACTTATATTTACAGGTTATAGCACAGACTATATAAATGAGAAAATAACCACACACACACACACACACACAGTTTCACTGACTCCACACTATTTACATTCAGAATGTGAATCATGGGCAGTGATGGGAATAACGGCGTTACAAGTAATGGCGTTACTAATGGTGTTACTTTTTTCAGTAACGAGTAATCTAATTACTATTCCTATCGTTACAATGCCATTACAGTTACTAACAAGAAAATGTGGTGTGTTACTATTTTTCAACAAACAGACGGTTGAAGCTGTGTTCAGCCTCATCTTATATCAGCTGCAGGAAGTAGCTGTAAGTAATCTGGACGCTACAGCTTTAAGCAGCTGCGCTCCCGCGGACGGTGATCACGAGCACTGTCTAGCACAACACCTGGAGCTCAGGGGGCAAAACGATCGCATGAGTGCTGCTGTTTGACTGAGGAAGAATAAAGTAGTCGTGGTCAATCACATGATCACTTAAAGACAAAGCAACAAGGTGATATATACCAGTTTATAAACTGTGTGGCCACGTAAAAACCACGATAAACAATATATACGCAGCGTTTTTTCCTCAATAGTTTCGTCACGTTTACTGTCTAAGGACAGCGCAGCGAGACCTCTCTGCTTATGAGCAAAACAAACAAACAAAAGAGGGGACGTTGTAGGAGTGACGGTGAGAGAGAGAGAGAGAGTTTTGAGATGTGAGAGATTTGTGACATTTAACATGTTTGGAGTGTGTAGTTAATGTGCTGTTTTGTGTAGTTAGTGTTTTGTGTTGTGTGTCAGAACAATGAGGCGACTGCTGTCTCCAGGTAGAAACAGCAGTGACACACCTGCTGCTGTCAGACCTGCAGGTATCAGCTGTGATGTTCTTTATAGTGGACAGAAATATATTTGGCACAAATAATTTGTGGCATCTTGTTGAAGAACAGCTGATTGTTCTGTAAATAGTTTGAAATGGTTATTTAAAAAGGGTAAAAGGTAAATGGATGCAAATAACTTTGTTGTTTGCAAAACTTGTGCATATGATTTTAAAATTGACAATTTATATTTGCATTTAAAGTTATGATTCAATAAACATGTTTGTGGTTGTTACAGTAAAAAATATCACTTTTTCTACTCTGATTTTAAGTTTTTTGTCTGATTTTAGATCAGTTGTGTTAATACAGTCTGTCAAAATGAAAACATGACTGTAAATTCAGACACGTGAGGTTGTGCTGAAAAGAATGATACTAAACACTACCCTCACCTATGGCCACGAGCTGTGGGTAGTGACCAAAAGAACGAGATTGTGGATACAAGCGGCGGAAATGAGCTTCCTCCGAAGGGTGGCTGGCCTCTCCCTCAGAGATAGGGTGAGAAGTTCAGCCATCTGGGAGGGGCTCAGAGTAGAGCCGCTGCTGCTCCACATGGAAAGGAGCCAGCTGAGGTGGTTCGGGCATCTGACAAGGATGATTCCTGGGCGCCTCCTGGGTGAGGTGTTCAGTCCATGTCCCACCGGGAGGAGGCCCCGGGGCAGACCCAGGACACGCTGGAGAGATTATATCTCTCGGCTGGCCTGGGAACGCCTTGGTGTTCCCCCGGATAAGCTGGAGGAGGTGGCTGGGGAGAGGGAGGTCTGGGCTTCTCTGCTTGGGCTGCTGTCATTGCATTTCGGGCAGTTTGTCCAAGTAGAGTTACCTTCGCACATGCACAAATGGGCAGTAGATCTGGTAGTGATGGGCACCTGAACCAATCAACTCAGTATGAAAGATGATAAATGCACATCGGCCCTACGATGGGAGATTTGAGTATTAAAACAATAACAAGACAGAACAGTCGACCGACATGAAGCATTATGCACATTGTGCAAGAAGGATTTTTCTTTTCACCGAAGCACTCCCATCTTAAAACATCACATTGACGTGAAGCATACGTTAGTTAGGGATGCTGCTAGCACTTTGGCTAACGCGTCACCCAGCTTGCCACAAACCGCTCACGGAGCATCGGGGACTCAGTAAGTCGACCTCGGACATATTGACCGACACAATTGCCACGTGGATTGCAGCAAACTGCAGACCTGTTAATGTCGTTGAGAACACGCGCTTTACATAGCTTTGGTTTGTCGTCTCAAGGACTTGAAGTGCCTCCCCAGAGTGACAGAGTGCGTGGATAAATGTGTTTTTTGTTTTTTGTTAACATGAAGTTCAAGATGTTCAATAAACATGTTAAGTTCATATATTTTCCCTTCTTTCTCGAGTCTGTTTGCTCATGCAAAATGAAATGCGATTAATATAGATTAAAAATGAATGATATGTAATTGTGATTAATCAAAATTAATCCACTATTTGACAGCACTGATAAGTATACTGATAAGAGGGTGACAGCAGATCGGACCGTTACTCAAACTCGTATTCTCTGTATAACTCAGCAGTATGAAATGTCATAAAACAGCGTAACTCATTCACAGTGAATCAGCAGTATAATGTAATACAAATCAATCTAATAAATCTAATGATTTTCACATTAGTCAGAAGTATAATGCAAACTAAAACTACATAATGATTACACAATCTATGATAAGAAGTATAATGTGGCCTACAGCAGTATCATGATTAGGGATGGGTATCATTTAGGTTTTATCTGATACCAGTACCAAAACGGTACTTTTGAAACGGTGCCGGTGCTTAAACGGTGCTCGAACCGGTGCTTAAAGAATGGAAAAAACACAAACTTTGTCCAAAAACCTCTCATGTTTA